TTATGAAGGCAGTTTTCTATTCATCGGCTGGGTTCATCCTGATCTGATTGTAGCCCGAGTAGGCGTCTAGAAAGCTCAGCAACTCATGCCCCGAGGTCGCGTCCACTAGGCAGTCAATCCTGGGGAGTGGGAAGCAGTCCTTTGGGCAAGCTCGGTTCAAGTCGGTGTAGTCGTCGCACATGCGCCATTTACCATTATCCTTTTTCACCAGAACGGGGTTGGCCACCCAGCTCGAGTAATAGACTTCCCTGATAAAATCGGCTACAAGGAGCTTCCCAACCTCCTCGTCGACTGCCCTCCACCACTCTGGGGTTAGGTTGCATTTCTTCTGTCTAACGGGCCTAACTACAGGATCAGTATTAAGCTTATGAGTTATGATGCTGGGGTCTATGCCGGGCATTTCTGCCGCGGACCAAGCAAAAACATCTAAATTCTTAAGTAAAAAGCGTACCGGTTCGGATCGAAGGGGCTCCTCGATGGAAGCACCGATTTGAAGCTTTCGGGCAGGGTCCTCTGTCGAGGCTGGGATAGAGACGGTCTCCTCCGTGGGCGCGGCTCGCTCCTCGCTTTACTCCGTAGGTTGCTCCAGCTCGAGGTCGTCAGCCACCTTGGCTTTTCCCTTGAGGGCGGCAACATAGCATTTGCGAGACTCAAGCTGGTCACCTTGCGCTACCCCGATGCCAAAGTCCGTGGGGAACTTCATGGCCAAGTAATAGGTGGACACCACAGCCCATAAAGCACGGGTAATCGGCCGACCTACTATGGCATTGTACGGGGAGGGGGTTGCGACCTCCAAGAAGTCATGGTTGAGCCTCACAATGCTAGGCCAGGTGCCAAGTTCCACAGGTACTGTCACCCTTCCTAGGGGCTGGACTTCCTCTCCGCTAAAGCCTACCAGGGAAGTGTTCGCGGGCTTTAGGTCGTTCTCCTAAAGTTGGAGTTTGTCGAAGGCCGCTTTGAAGATGATATCCGCTGAGCTGCTTGAATCGACGAGGACTTGCTTGACTTCAAAGTCATTGATCTTCACATTTATGACGAGCGAGTCGTCATGGGGGTAGTGGACCCCGCGTGCATCGTCCTCTGTGAAGATGGGGTCTTCTGTCCTTGGCCATTTCAGAGAGTTCTGCTCTTCCCTGCTAGTCTCGCGAGCTGATGCGTGAGTCGCTGCTGAGGTGCAGCCCGCCACAATCGAGCCTCCAACTATAACATGGATGATCCCCCGAACTGGTCTCTCTTCAGGGGGCTGCTTCTGTGGTTGCTCCGCTTGCCTGCTGGACTCGGGGGCGTCTCTACCTTGCTTCCCTTGTTGGCATACCTTATTATTATTTTGTACAAAATTTCGTAAATACCCGCGACAGATGAGTTCTTCTATCTCATCGCGGAGGTTTTTACAACTTTCAGTACTATGACTGTGGTCTTTATGAAATCTACAATACAAATTTTTATTCCGAGTGCTCGGGTCGGCCTTCAGCAGAGGTGGCCACTGCACGTATAGAGCGTCCTTGATTGCCATGCGGATCTCGACCTGCTTTGTGTTAAGGGGCATGTAGTCCCTTTCTGCTGCTGGAGCTCGGGAGGGCTGGACTGGCCTTGCCCTCCGAGCTATGTTCTTCTTCTTCCTGTTGTTGCTCTGAGACGGGGGCTCTGGCTCCCTCTTTCTTTTTTCTAGGGCTTGCTCGTCCTTCTGGTTGATTTCCTCCTCTGTCCCAATGAACCGATCGGCGAGCTTAAGGAACTCGATCATGGTTTTGGGTTAGTTGACAACTATGTGCCACTTGAACTCCTTATGGGTGATGTCTCGCTTGGCTGCTTTGAGACGAACTGCGGGATCCAAGTCGGGTATCTGCAAACAAGCGTCATTGAACCGCTTGATGCAGCTCCGGATGGACTCCCCTTCCTTTTGTACTATGCCGAGGAGGCTCTCTTGAGTTCGTTGGTACCTCTTGCTTGTGATGAAGTGAGAGGTGAAAATTTGCACGAACTGCACCCAACTTCTTACCGAGCTGAGCGCGAGGTTTCGGTAATAGGTGTGGGCCACTCCTTTGAAGGTGGTGGAAAAGGCCACGCACATGCAGGACTCGTTGGCTCTTGCCAGGTGCATCTGGGACTAGAAGGCGTCCACATGGTCGTTTGGATCAAAAGACTCATCATACTTATCCAGAGGAGGGAGTTTGAAGTCCCTTGCCATGGGGACAACAAGGAGTTCTAGAGATAGTGGGGAAGAAACTGAGAGGAGGGGGGTAGCTTTCACTTCACCTAAGCATACCTCCTCTTTTCCTTTGAGCTCGGGAGAGGTTCTGGAAGCAGTTCGGTGGGCTCGCCGATGCCTTTGCTGTTGCTTTGCTGGCTCGGCGTTGGTGCTTGATGCTTCAGGGTCACCAAGCTTGATAGGCTCAAACCGTTGGTGAAGACTTTGGACCGAAGGGCCTTGTCTGAAGTCCATGGCCAGGACCTCAAACGGACTCTCCGTGAGCGGGAGCTCAAACTGCGAAGGTTGTTGTGACACGGGCTTAGTTGGCTGAGAGGCCCCTGACCTAGGAAGTCTCTCCCTGGAGAGGCCGCTCACTTCGGCGGGATGGCTTGGTCTGCTTTGTGGCCGGATGCCAAGGAGGAAGCGGCGGCTGGGCCTGTGGCAACGAAGGAAGTTGTTGCTGGTACTGGTACTGGGAAACCTGGTGCAACACTTGTTGTTGGTAAAGCTGAAATTGTTGAAACTATTGCATTTGGGCCTACATGGCCCGCATGCATTGCACTAAGTCCTCCAGTTGGTTCAGGTTGGCCGTTGGAGGCGCAACCAAGGGTTCAGCAAAGGTTGCTCCGACTGTAGAAGGGAGCGGAGAAACGGTAGGTGCCACTGGAAGAGGCACGTTCAGGCTAGGAACCCCATCCGCTGAGAGGGGGACGGTAAACTGTCCGATGCAAACAGTGGGAAGCTGAGGCTACTCCCCAGAAGCGTTCTAGCTGGTGCCACGTCCGGCATTACTAGAAGAAGCCATGAAGAATGCTAAGTTTTTTGGAAGAAGAAACTATGAAAGCTTAGAGGAAGGCTTTTGGAAGCGTTTCCCATAGACGGTGCCAAATGATGCGGCACGATCCGGGCACTCCTACCTGGCTGCTCACTGGCTCCTTGTTGGCGGCGGACGGCACCTGAGAAGACAAAGAAGAAGGATTCCCGGGGATTTTCCCGGCGGGAATACTCCGAAGCTTAAGTTAGAACGCTGGAGAGGAAGAAAAGAGTGCGAAAAGCTAAGAGTGTAGGTCGCACTTTATCACTGTGCTCATGAGGTTAGCTCGCGAGCAAGTAGAACTCAAGTTGAGAGTATGAGAGTGTGTAAGTGTCAAAAGTATCTGAAGAAGATCCCTTCTCCCCTTCGCCTAAAGGGCTTTTATAGGGGCGTTCTTGTCAAATCGGGCGTAACCGCCACTGGCTCCTGTCACAGCCGTTACATGTCAGGCCTGCGTAGGTGATCGTTATAACGTACTACCCGCTTGGGTGAGTGACACGTCCCAAAGGGGCAGGCACGCCTCCATCTGCCGAGAGACGTGGGTGCATACTGTTGAAAGGGTTGCGCTGTCAGACGAGAGACGTGGGGCAGTCGGATCGGTACGGTCTTGTGAGGCCGAAGCTTCCTGAAAACGTCACGCTGCTCAGTCGCAAGCTACCTTGTAGCAAGCTTAGGGGTGTTTCGAGGTGACCCTTATCAAGGTTGGTCTCTGGGGTGATTCTTCCACCTAAAGGCTGGAGCGAGCTGGTTTCCCTAGCTCGCGAGCTAAAATAATCTTGGAGTATTCCCTTCTCGGTAGCTCGGGGGACTTGGAGCTCGCTTCCTCCTACAGCGAGCTATGACGCAGCGAACTGCTCTATAAGCTCGTCACTTAGTTGTGGTTAGGCTACGATGCTGAGTTGTTGCTCATGCTGAATTAGGTCCACGTGTCATTATTTCAGTAGGTCGGGTCAAATCATCCTCCATCAAAACCAAACCATAAATTATATATATATAATTTTAACTTTCTCTCTCTTCTCTTCGATACCCAACCCATAGCCCCTTTCTTTCTAAGTTTCTTCCTCAACAGAACACCAAAGTCAGCCCTTTATATACATCGCCAACACCCCTCCACCGACCACCACTACCATTTCCGATTTGTTGTTGTCGATTGTTTGTCACTCCTTTGCCGTCCATTCTCTCTCTCTCATCTTGTCATCTCTCTTCCAACCCTTACATAAAGCCCTAACCCAAGAAACCCTCTTCCTCTGAACTCTTCAACCGAAGCATATCTGCCCTTGTCCCCACCATTTTCACTGACCCGTTGCCAGCTGCCGCAATCTCTCTCATCTTTCCATCTCCTCTCTTTTATTCTTTCAAAAAGAAAAACCTTAACCCCTTTATCTTTATCTCTGGTTTGTGTTCAACTGTGAACGCTGAGGAACCGAAAGGATAGGAATAAGAACTCGAATTTGGACTTGGGAGATAGGTAAAATATCAACCATTTTCAGAATTTTGGACAAAAAATAGGATTTATGTATCTTTTAATTATATATTTATATATGCATGCTTTTAGCAGTAGAATGCTCAATTGTATGCTTCTCATGAGAATGTTTTAATTCATTTTCTGATATTTTACTGTGTTTATTTAATTGATTATTTTATATTGTTCTTTTTTTTTGTTTTTTATACATTGTATATATATAAATTGTCAACAATAAACTGATTTATTTGTTACACATTATCTTTTATATATTTAAAATTAGTTAATTAATTTTTTCTATATTTATCCAAGCAAATCATAAAAGGGTACCGTATTAGAAATTGCACCAAGCCGTAATAAACGGTTTGGTTTGATCTGATCTCTATGCTAAAATGGTTTGATTTTGTTTGAGAATTTCCGAATCATAATTTACTGGTTTGGTTTGAGATATTCTCCAAACTGGACTGGAATACCCCTACTATTGCATTGCGTTATTTATGTGGTGGTTGTGTGTGTGTGAGAGAGAGAGGAAGTGAAGTTACATAAACCATTTGAAATTATTAGTTGAAAGAACTAATCAATTACAGAATATAGGAAGAATGCCAGACACTTTGAATGGAAACACCAAGGCAGAATACAAAAAGCTTCTCATTTTGGTAATGTAAAGTACGAAGAAGGCTGAAAGGCCTAGTTCACAACGCTGCAGCTCTTCCTGATCTCTCCTTGAGTACCAGTGAGAACGTCAATATAACCCATGTGCACCATCGCCGCTGCAAACTTGGAGGCCCAAGCTGAAGGATGCTTGGCATTGTTCCTCACCATCCATGCCGTCGAGTGACTGCTCATCAGTGTCCAGTCAGATGTTAACAGCCCATGGTGATTCTTCAAGTTCTTATAGTATTTGTTGTCCAACCTATTGGGTGTAAGAACATCCAGCGGCACCGTCGGGTCTAGACTGGATCCCGCCGTTGATGTTGGAGGGCACCTGGTTTTCAGGAAGGCTGCATAGTCGGGATCCATCGATGGATCTTGTGGGTGAGTGGCATTGAAATTGTACAGACGGTTCAGGAAGGACGAGCAGTGTGAGACTCCGATTGAATGCGCTCCAGAGAGGGTAACCATCTCCTCCAAAGACAACCCTTTTCCGGCAAAGCGATCCTCGAGTTGCTTTGCAGTGAAGGAAGGAGGTGGAAGGTTTGCCCGAATATCGGCACTACGGGAGATAAGACCATCTCTACGTCCCGCAGGCACAGCATAGTTGATTCCTCCCAGCTTGTATGCACTATCACGAGCGGCAAAGGCGATGATGTCTGCACATGAGACAGTCTGTGGGCAGACAGCTTCTATATGGGCCTTAGCCATGTCGATCACCTCGAAGCCTCGCAGACTTGGGTTGTTAGCTGGATGTGACTTCTCTGCGTCGTTTCCTGGAGTTGAATCAAGTAGCACAGAAGCATCACAACCCTGAAACAGAGAAAGAATTACAGAGGATCAGTGCCATTTATCAGTATAAATGAAAGCTGATGGCTATTTATGGAAGCTGAAGATATGAACTGATGAACATACCCTGACAAAGCAGTCATGAAAATGCATCCTGATGAGGCCTGCACCTATGCCAGGATTTTGAGATATAGCTTTTGTTACAGCTTTTCTCACAATTGCTTCTGCAGACGGGCAAGTTGAGCTATAAAATCCCACTTTAAGGGATGCAGTTGACCCTGAAGCCATTGTTGAGATTGCAAGAAAGCAAATGAAGCAATAGAGCATGGTTGGCATTTGACTGCTAATAAAATCACGGAAACTACTCATTTTAGTATGGAGAGTAGACAAGGAATAGTTTAACTTGAGATCAAGAGAAGAAGAATTTGATTAGATATTGAACCTCCGCAGTTATGAGCAGGCAGACGAGAAGATGGATTGATGGAGAGAGTGGATGAGCTTATTGGAGTATTTATAGTTGGAGAAACGCGTATATATTAGTATTGTTAATTAAGCATTACTCTTTTACCTGGTAATCGATGAAGAAGTGTTCAGCAGTGAGAACTTTGAATATTAACAACGTCCACTTAGAAGCTGTCTAATTTTGAACTGTTCCACACTTCTATGATCTAATTGAAATTTTTAATCTGACTTCACTCATCGTGATCAGGGTTATCCTCTTCCTTCTTTGCTCTTTCCTTGCTGTCACAATCTTTAATTTTTATTATTGTTCAATTCACTCAACATGATATATTTGCTTTTTAATATTTCGGTTGGGCTAGCTTTCACTTTCGCCTTTGAATTTCGAGTTAATGTCACTGCCAATAAAGTAGAAGCCTACATGCCTACAAGGTTCATAAAAAAAATTTAATTTCTCGGTGGCGTAAGTTGCAGATAATTAGTAAATTAGCATGTACAAGAAATTGTTTGGAAGACAGCCCAACCATGACTTACAAATGAGAACGACCAAGACTGAGTCATATGTCACTGGCTTTTTTTTCTTTTGTTAAACTCAGTATTCATTTGTTTACCTCTTCAACTTAATGCTAAATACTATACAAAATCCTTCTTAATCAGCTCTTCTTCTTCTAGTATTCTTGTTCCACGAATTAATCCGATCGAACAGACCAAGAAAACTGACCTGAAATCGGAATTGTTTTGACCATCAGTTTTCAGCTCGACGGTTCGACCATCTAGTTCAAATAGATGGCCTAACAAATCAACAGTTTTACCGCCCACATGAATGGGTTTCTAACCAATTCAACAGTTTTTAGCCAAGAACCAAGTTTGGGATAAAACGAAACCAATTACCTGAATGCTTTCTGGGCCAAACGGTCTGACCGTCTGAGTTAAAGACGGTTCAAAAACATTAGAACAGACCATGGTTTTCAAAACCGGATTAGACTGGATGGTCAAACCGGAAAAACCGGGAACCGGTCAGGTGACCGGTTTCGTTTTCCCCAAAAACCGGATTTCCCCCAAAACCGTTGACTTTGGTCAGCGAACCACTGAACCGGGCGATTAATCATTCGAACAATTTTGACCGTTTTTTACTTTTTTGAATTTTTTATTTTTCTGCCAGAATGAACCGGGTGTTCAGTTCGAACGGTCAGACTGTTCAACCCTATAACCGAACCCCTGGCCGGTTCAGTCACCGGGTTGATTTTAAAAACCATGGAACAGACTGTGATTCCTTTGAGAGGCCAGGTTGGAAGTAGGGCTGTTCACGAGTCGGGTTGGGTCGGTTTACTGAGATTTTTTCAACCGACCCGACCTTGTCGGGTTACCTGAAATTGAAATCGAAACCGACCCTGTGTTAAGCAAAACCGACTTGATCGGTTTGAATCGGATTGGGTCAATTTCGGCTCTAAGTTCAACCATGGTAATAAAATGGTAGATTGGAGAAAAAATACTGAAATTTGATGTAAAAAAGGACCCCTAATTGTATTAAAGAAAGAAGACTGAAATTGGTAAGGGGCCTTGGAAAGCCAACTTTCCCAAATCCAACTCTTGCCAGGGCCCAGGGGAGATCTAATTAACTCTTTAACTCATTCGGATGGCCACACTGGCACTCTTTAACTCGAACTCATCTTCCTGTAGCCGTCGGACTCAGTCCACTTGTTCTCAGAGGAAACCGGAAACCCTGTGTAGGCAGCGATGCAACTTGAGAATCAGATAATATAATTGAATGTGTAATTGTGTATGAACATGAATTAGTAATGAGAGGTTTAATTGTCACTAAATCGAATCGAACTCATCGTCAGTTCAACTTATTGACACATGAAACGAATATAATTTGTCAACTTTGTGTGTATCATCGTATAGGAAAATAATTTTACAGCTGTCTAACAATGGCCAAGCAAATGAGGCGGTCAGGAGTTATGTGATTAGGTCTAATAATTAAACGGTATCCTTTAGAAAGGTCTGGGTTGGAGATGTCAGTTTCTAGACAGGTTTTGGGATTTTACAATTTGTAGAGGATATGGATAGAGTAAGGTATTAAGTTAAACTCGATTCTTCATTGACATATTGTTAGAAAACATACAAATTTTATTTATTAGATATTGAATTTAATAATATTTTAAATTTCATGGAAGTATAATTGATAATTTATGTATTTTTTATATATCTTAATCAAATAATTGAAATTTTTGTTACTTGTTTTTATTATTTTACTTATTTATTACTTATATATAATAAAAAATTAGATACAAATTATAAATCTAACCCGACCTTATCCTTGAATATGGGGAGGGTAGGGTTTAAAATTTACAAAACCCTCTCCAGACCTGCCTGGTTGCCATCCCTAGTCTGGGACGCCCATAACTTGCAATGTATCCCATGTTATAAGGACTAGGATAGGCGATGGATGACTCATACATCATACATTGCATAAGAGGAGAATAATGAGAGAATAGCTTTAAAAAAAAGGAGAAAAGAACAATGCCATATAGAAACTTGGAAAAGTCAGTTCAAGCGAACTCAGTATTTGATCGTGGCACCAGCGGCCTCGGTTGGTAATGTCTCTTTAATCCAAGCCCAGATCGATCCAGCCCACACACAATTTTAGGGGTTGGGGTTAGACTTTTGATCTTTGGACTGGATCTAAGACCAAAAGTCATATATAAACGCACACATGCATAGATATATACATACATTTATATCAAATTTAAGTATGAACTAATTGACTGATACAAACCCATCTCAGGTTTAAACCGAACATGCATCAAATTCCAACGCAAACTGAGCCCAGGTTATAGATCAGTATTGGCCTCGGGCCTTAAGTCCAATTATTAGGATTGAACCTGGGTTGAGCTTAAATCTAACTCTGCCCAACTAATTTGCATCCCTAATTATAGCAGAGACTCAATATCAATTCCTGCCTTCACTAGGGTTGAGGGGTATGGCCCTATGGCTATTAGGACCCAGTCTTCTTTCACTCGTCTGTACTGAGAATTTACTCAATGCTAGCTAGTATTACAAATGTCTTTTCATATCGAAGATGTTTTTTTTTTTTTCCTGTTTTGGTAAATCTTGCACATTGAAGATGTTGGTATGTTATAAATCCAAAAATTACCATATTCCTTTCATTTGTCGATACTTATTTGCATCATCTATTGGTTCCTAACTTATCGTTTCATTTTGATTAGATTAATTGTTGGAAATAATAATTCATCATAATTATGCTCTTTTTGAATATTCTATGCAGGAGATTCTCATCATGCCCTATGTAGCTATGAAAAATGTCATGAAAGAGCATTTGATGAACATCCCAGTCTGAGGCCTATAAATTCTCTCTCTCTCTGTTCCTCATGGTCTATTGTTTGTTGCAACCTCCTCTACAATTTTGCTAATTAGAGAAACTACGGTTCACCTATGACAAAGAGCAGAGGAAGATGGAATATCATTGCCAAGCACATAATAACCAAACACTGGTTGATCATCGCAACCTTTTAATATGGAACAATTAAATATATGAACGGTCTAGATCATCTGTATTTGACACGCAAACAGACTACGTGTATGCTATGCTTTCTCACTTTATGTGTGTCTAAGTGATGTAAATCGAAAAATCACAATCCCTGTTGGCAGTGATGACCTGAAGCTCGGTTGCCAACTAAGGTAGCTGATTTGCATGAAAAACATCAGAGAGCCCTGGTGCCTGATGGTTTTCCAAGTATGAAACTTCAACGCTTAAGTATGTGTTTGGTTCTGTTTATTCTTATTGAATAAACTTTTGTACTTTATTTGCTATTAAAACCGAAAAATGCAATAATTGCAACCGTTTATAACAAGTAAGCACCACTTCAGCGTACCAGTGAATAAACGCCTGACCGTTTGTAAAAGCTTCAAAAAATAACATTTACAAACGGCTGGAATGCACATAAGCCAAAATTTACTTTTTACATTTTCGATGTATGCAGAAGAGCAAAAGAGAGAGAATACTGAGATGACACCTATGTGACACCATCAATAAACGTTTACTGAATAAACGTAAAGGAAACCAAACACTCTCTAAATCAGTATTGGCTAAGCACTCCAAGGTAACTACATCGCCTAACTGAAAAGCTGCCTATAGGTTGGTTGAAAAGGCAGAAGATCAAATGTTCTGGTTGAGTTTCTAAGGTCTAAAAAGTAGGTGTACTTTTTTAACCTAATCCGGTAAGCTTTATGTTCTGCTGTTTAAGGGCCTATAAAAGGATTTTAGAATAAAAGGTAAAAGAAGAGGTTAGAAGCATATTCAAGAAACGGGCATTAAGAACCAGAAAGCATGAAAAATCAATCCAAAATTCACACAGATGATCCTTGGTAAATTTCTCTTTGAAAGAAAATTCTCGCATGTCAAAGTAAAGTTTCTTCTCTGACGTCCATATTTTTCATTGGTCCTCCGAAATCTTTCCACCATCTCTACCCAACTAATGTTAATACCTAAGATATCTTCCCAAAAAAATGTAAATACCTACGGTATCTGGATATAGGTTCTAATAGAATGGGCACTATTTCACATTGCTCAACTATACCGCCATGTCCATCAAGATTCATAAATTAATTTTGACATGGTCCAATAACGACCTTCTATCTCTTACGCTGTGTTTGACCGTAGGTAAAGTTGCTGCTGACAGCACGAGTTTTCCTGACACTGCTAACTCGATCAGCGATATATCCTGGTTTCATGCAGTTCAAGGCATTCATTGATGTCACATAGACAACAATAACAACCAGAGGTCTTAACATGAAAAGACAAAACCAAATTGGGAGATATAACTACATTAGTTAATGAAAAGAAAACCATACTCTAGTCGGTTTATTGCAGTAAATGGTTTCATGACCAAAAAATAAATGTCCTGATTTTACAGCAATTCAATGGATCCTCTTTAAGATGCAATGCCTCAAGCTAAATTACTTTCTTGGACTCAAATTAAGAACACAAGAAGAAGTAGAAGAAAGTAAAAACTTTGAAGAGGAGAAAAAAGAAAATTTAAGGATTTTATGCCGCAGACATAATGCAATCAATTGCTTGCTTGCAAATTCCAGTCATTGTAGCCTCAGGGCCATAGACCTGCAAGAACGATTACCAACAACAAAACCAGGTCACAAAAACAGATGAGCTCCTTGGCCATTCAAGAAAAAAAAAAAGAGTTGTGCATGTGTATATGCAGATTGTCTAGGTGTAGTAACAAATTTGAAAGGTTGCACAGTTTTAATATTCCTTCTGGTTTACATTTACAATAAGTTATGGAGTCCTTTTGTAAAAGCAGCTTGAAATCCAGAATGCTCTTCCAGTCATGGTTTAAAAAGTTAAGAGAAGTCTAATGAGTCCAACCAGCCATAAGTGATCACATAATGAAAAACCAGATTATGATTACATACCTCAAGGGGAACACCTAGCTCCTCTCCCAGGGCACGCATTTTTGCTAAACCAGTTTGATAGTTTGGACCACCTCTTCGAACATAAATGTGCATTCTTGCTGCCTTCAGCTTAGATTCCTACGAATTTGAAAAGGTTACACGCTTGACGCCTTTAAAGCATATGAAAGAATTATTAAAATCACAAAAAAAAGAGATTGCAATTTAGCCTACCTTCTCCCGAAGGGCCCGAATTATGCCATTAAATGTGGCAGCCACATCAGTGAAATTAGCTATACCACCCCCAATGAGAAGAGCTCTCTTACGACCATCAGGGTCTGCAGTTGCACACTGCAATATCATAAAAGGATATTGTCATTATACTGCAAATGCAAAATGTTATTTGCTAAATGAACATAAGAAGAAGCTATAGCTCCATCCTGTACCCAAGTTTAGAGAAATCTTACATCAATAACAACTCTGGCATACTGCAACACCTCCTCCTCATTTGGAGCTCCACTGTATTCAGCATAGTTTCCAAGCTCCGAAGCATAACCTAAATCTCCAACCTAATTAGACAGAAAATGTTGAAGAATTTTAGCATGGAGGTGGGAGAAAAAGTGAAATTGTGGAATTTCGGCCACATGAAAGATGAAATATTCCAGCAATTGAAAGGTGGGAAATGGTATAAGGACCATTGCTCACCATGCACTTTTCAACCAGGCATTGGCAGATATATACCCAGGCAATCAAAGAAAATGAAGTAGCATTAGCATGAAAAGAAATGAGAAAACTTACAGTATCAGCATATATAACACTTGCACCGCCACCTGCTACCATTGTCCAGATTCGTCCTTTAGGGTTCAAAACAGTGAACTTCAAGGACGCGCTTGTCTGCAATGTAACTCATGCATCAGTTCACAAATCTGCCTCTTATAACTTTTGAGACAGATTCTGGACTCTAAAATACACCCCAGAATAAACTAATAGAATGTTAAAGTTCATGGGAGAATAATAATCAAGAATTAAAAAAACAAAAACATGGGAAAATTACCAGGCTAACAATCTACTATAAGAAATTAAGGAACAGTGCCTTCAGGATTGCACTGTTAAAATGTGCCCTACAATGACCTAGATCACAACTCAAACATCAAGATCATTCTCACATATGCTAAGTTGCTTCAAGTTACTGAATAGCAGTTCTTATACTTACATCTTTACATAGACAATATCAGTTGTTGATTGAACTATAAATCTATTTTTTTTCACTTTGCTAGTTTCTTTCAAATTCATACACAAATGATTTTGATGTGCCTTCTAAATGTGGGTTTCAGATGTATTTCACAACCATGCATGATCAAGTGTAATTAGTTCATTATGCACCAAATTAGCTTTATAACCCATCTCAGTTATCTGAACTTTATTGCGATGCATCAGAAAGGATGAATGTTATTTCCAGGGTCTGTAGATACTGAAAATAGGCATTCTATGATATTCTATCAAAAGAAATTAAATGGAGCCTTTTTGATATTTCGTTAGTGATTTAATGATTTCAACAGAATTAAATAATATCTAAAATATTTTAAGGAAATAGATGGAATCATACTGTACAGTAAAGAAAACCTCCAGCAAAATATTTAAAACATGAATTAGCATGCATAAGTAGCAACCTTTTCATCCAATGCATGGACAAAGCTTTCTGTAGGACTCAGTACTCTGCCAAAAGGCAGTGGGAACTCAATGTGGCCCCACCTGCAAAGTATAGCACAACTTTATAAGACCAATACTCTTTGCAGTTCATTGAGAAAAGATGACAATTTTAGCACATCTTCCTTGAATCTTGAACAACAAATTTACTTCTTAAAATTCTTGAAGGCAGCTGTGTCATCCAATTCTCCCCTCATATCCAATGGGTATGGCTCTCCATTCACCAATGTAAATGGATTCATCTCTAAAAAACTGAAGTCCAGATCTGTACAGGGAATAATCAATCAAAATGAAGCAAACAATGATAGTGTGCATAATATATATCTTATAATATAAAATTGAGAAAAGGTGTTTCCTATCATTTCAAGAAATAAATGATTGTTGCATATGCTCAATAACAAGAGATACCAATTATTTTCATCCTTAGAGATAGCCATACCCTGAAAGACAGCAAATACACCTTTTATGAACTCTCCAATTTTGTCTCGAACCTGAGCCAAAGTAAAATATATAAGTATGCCTTAAGTGTGGAAGACAGTAATATGCTCAAAAACAAAGCCAACTAGAATACATTGTACATGAAAACTGTTGAAGACCCAAACAAAGAAATAGCTTCTTCAGTGATCAAGGGCAGAATACATTGTACATTTAAACTGTCTTACACTATGCAGTAAACTTGGACCACCCATTATCTATCCCAAAATCTTTCACCATCCATGCATGGTTTGAATTGGAGGGGCACCAAAAATCACAAACTCCAGCAAATTTAAATTAATCTTTAAAATCTTTAGATAGATATTTCCTTTTCTTTCTTTCTAGATCCTAAAAAGTTGGTGCACTAAACTGACAATGATTATTCATCATGTACTGCAGGCATCACTGACACTCTGGTTGAACAATGGCATACAAGCAGGCCACATATGCACAAGATGGCATAGTAGACAGAGAAACTTAATGCCCAAAAAGAAGATCATTAATCCCATGATAAGAATAGGCAAAGAAATTCCAGATAATACAATCTCCATGTTTAATGATGTATCATTTGAAAACAATGAAAACAGCATGATTGAAAGTACCTCCAAAGGAAGTGTAGCAATCAGTGGAGCACATGCCTCTGATGTCATAGGCTTCTCTGTAGGGAGAAATATGGTCTTAACCTGCATGACCAAAATCAAGCAATGCCACCTTAGATCAGAAAATGAGGCAATAAGTGTGACTACAATTGGAAGATGCAAATACCCAATTGGTCTTCCATCATACCTTGTCCCAATTTTCTTCAATCTCAATACCCCCACACTCGGAGAAGCTAATGGTGGAACCAAGCCTCTCAGAAACAATAGAAAGGTAGTACTCTTGGTGATGGGGAACAAATGGTTCAACAATGAAAGTGGTAATAGGTGCCTTGCACCCACCCATCTCAACCTAAACAAGATATAAATTCCATGTGAGAACAAAGCTAATTGTATTATTAACTGAAATGAGCATTTCCAGGTAATGTTGCTGCGGGATTCACCTCAACACCAAGACGTTCTTTCACGAAGGTTGCAACTTGAGCCAGATCCAAATTCAGAGCAACCAAGCCACTCTTCCCACGCTTCCCAAACAACATGTCGGGCTTGACAACCAATCTTGTAGACGAAAGCCATGGTTCTTTGTTTGTTAACTCGGTGAAATCTGTGGATTCCGTTACCTTAAAGAATAGAGAATATTAAAATTGAAAACCAATTCTCGTCAAAAGGATTCCGATCGTTTCTGGTCAACAAAAATTAAATATAACTCTTTTTTGATTGGTCAAATTATAGATTCTTTCTGTTGACACAAGCGGCATATAACGTCCGTAACAAGTAGAAATGACTTGATTGCAAAAGAAAACCATAGAATCGAAGGTGAGAAACTAAATCAGAGATACAGTGACAGAGTGTTGTGCGTGTCTGCGACAAGAAGAGTTGAGCTTAGGATGACAGAAAAGGCATGTCATACTTGAGGCAGAGGGGAGAGATCTAATAAGTCTTGGAGCAGATAGAAATGAGTGGACAGTCTAAAAACAGAGCTCGAATGGAGAACAGATCGGTAACCTACCTGAGCAGAGCAGATCTCGAGCTGGATCCCAGCAAGTCTCTTCAAGTGCTCCTTGAGAAGTCTCTTGGAATCATACTCTCTGATCTTCTTCCTCGCCATTGCTCCGCTTAATCTCTTTAAATCTAAATCTGAAAGACTGTGAAGAGAGAATGTTAACACTTAGGAGAGAGAGAGAGAGAGAGAGAAAGGAACGAGGCAGAGGGAGAGAAGTGCGGTGTGAGGAGAATAAAAGAGACCAATTTGGGGCGGGGGAGGTGGCTTGAGATACGGGAAAGAAGATTAGGCTTACCAAACTTGAGAGGCTGAACGGGGGAGATGAGACGGAAGGAGAGGGAAGTTTGGTAGATGGTGCTCGCTTCGATTGTATCGTAGTATCTAACTAGCTATTAATCTATTATTATTGCTGGGGTAGTTGCTTTGCCCGAACGAGAGCCTACCATCACCATGGGAGTTGGGTGTCGCATGTCTGGGTTAAGTCTCGTACCAACTCCCCTGTATTTGGTTGGAGGAAGGACCGGTAGAAGGGTGGTAGAGGAATGACAAACATAAATTCAGACCGGGCAATAGGGGTCGGGTCGATGTGTTTTTCTGGTCGGGCCAATTTTTCGGGTTGGGTCGCCGAAGGCAGGGGTGTAACAATGGATGGATTTTTGGGTCAAGTTAATAGAATCTTGATCGAATTCGGATATATATATAGTAATTAATTATGTGCGTTCTATGTATGAATTTTAGATATATTAATATTACTTGATATATCATATTAAATCTTATATATATATATATAAAAGGGGTTGTTTCTTCTTTCGCCACATGACATTAATTTAATTAAATTTATAATTATAATTATTAATCATTATAATTACTAACGGTTATAATGGCAGTTGATGTAGCGTGATCCGGTCACTCCTACCTGGCGGTGGTCTGGTTCCTACCTGGCAATGGATAGTACCTGAGATGGAGAAGACAGTGAAGGATTCCTGGGGAGTTCGTCCGACGAGAACACTCCAATGCTTAAATTAGAATTCGGTGGAAAGCTTAGAGAATAGTAAGAGATCTAAGAGTAAAGATAGTGCGAAATCACTTGGTAGAAGTTACCTTGCCCCTTGGAAATCGGGACCTTTATATACTGATGTTCTGTCAAATCGGGTGTAACCGCCTTTAATCCTCTGTTACAGCCGTTATTCGCCAGGCTGATTCGATTGGTTTCATTCTTCTTTTGTCAAGAGATAATGGTGTTGCCTAATTTTTTAAAAACCTAGAGATACTTTTAAGGGATTACTGAAACTAAGGCCCTGTTTGTTTTCATAAAGTCACTTACCTGGGTAAGTGCATTTACCCATGTTCTTTTATTTCCCATGTAAATAAGGCAATGACCATTTTAGCCATAAAAATCCACTATTAAAAAGGGCATTTTTGTCTCATTCAAGTGTTGGCAACTTTCCCACCAGGTGGAAAACTTATTTACCCACCTAGGAAATAGGTCTAGGAAAATAAACTTTCCTTGGTCCTAGAGCTATAAAACGGGAAGTGCCTCCCTCCCTTGAGATATTTTGGGGGGTCAGCTCGGCATGGCCCATGGCTCAAGCTCACATGGGCCCGTGCCATGCCACGGGCTGGGTTGGTTTGTCGGACAATCCTTAGGCTAGGGCGGGCCGTGGATTGGGCCAAAGCTACTTATTTAAAAAATTGAAAAAAATCTTAAATTTTTTATTTTATATGAATTTTGATGTATACAATTGTTTATATGTACAATAATTAAATAAAATAGTATAACAAAATTGAAAATAATTGTTTATTTTGTTAATATATTATATACTATATGTTATTATATAATTATATGGGTTGTGTCATGCTGGCCCAACCCACGGACCTGAATCCCCAAGCCCGACATGGCCGGTGGCCCATACAATCGTGTCGTGCCATGGCACAGCCCGTGACCATTGAATCATGCCAAGCCACGGGCAGCACGACCGATTTACACCTCTATCTAGTCTCCACATAAATCTGAAAAAAGAACATGGATTTCTTGATCAATGGATATTACTTTCCCCTTCTCATAATCCCATTAACCAACTTTCCCCTTTTCATAATCCAAAAAAAAGAACGCCCTCTAAAGGATATTACTTAATCTATTTTACAAAACCTAAGAGTTTTAAGTATTTTATCCTAATAAATGTCCTACTACCTTGAAATCACTTTACATATCTGATGATAAGAGAATGAACTATGACTAGACAACTCCCTTGTATCAGTATGCATTCCACTTTAAGGGCTGAAGGCTCAGTTTGGAAGGAGTACAAATATAAATATGTACACTACAAATGCATACAAAATGCAAGGTTTTGCACTCTATGTATTTTATTTGCATTCCTTCCAAACTGAGCCGAAGTTTCTCATTTGTCCTCTGAAAAACTGTTAATTTCAATGGTTACTAGGGCTCTAAATAAATGTTTGGAGTGTTGAATGGTCCATTCATTCTTAACTGCCCACGAAATGCATTTAGAGATCTTTTGCAGCTGTTTCAACTCTCATGAAGATTACAACCGGTTGGATGGCACAAGCAGATGAAAATTTTCATCTTTTTTCTATTTTCTTTTTGGGTGGTGATTTTGGAGAAGGTTAATCAAGAAAACTCAATAATATTCAAGTTCATTCATTACTACGGTTGAGTTAGATGATTGGTAGAGAATGGTAGACATAAATAAAGAATTAGCTCGATGCAACGACTGTTCAATGGACTGTGAAACCAATGATAATAACTCTCACCAACAGTTATAAATACATGGAACCCATAAACCATTCAATCTCACTTAGCATTTTATGACTGATGTGGGTGTTATCATGGTTTTCACAGCCTGCTGTACAGCCATTGTGTCCAGTTAATCCAAATTATAAATAAAGGGGTCGGAGCCAAAGCATGGAGGTGGAGGACACGAGACCCATTTACCTTATAATGGACAGCCTTTGGTTACCAACGAGTTGGATCTCTTGCACTTATTTTTCTTTTTAGTTTGTTACAGGTCTTCCATTACCTGATGAAATATTTATTTGTTCCATAATATAGATATTATAGCAAGCTATATACATATATACTTCATGTGTGTGTAATATTTTATAGGATTCAGTTATAATGTTAGAAAAACATATAACCAATCAACGGGTATCTTTAAAATGATAATCCAATTAGGTGGTATTCATATATTTAGCAAAAAAAAAAAGTGCTATTCATAGCTTTTAATTATTTTTAGGTTTCAATTGTTTTGCTTTTATTTTCCATTCAAGAGATAATCTTCGATATGATTTTTTTTCTTGCTGCGGGTTACAAATACAAATAAGAAACACTTGATTTTTTGAAAACAAAAATTTATATTTTTTTTAAACAAAAAATCATGTTCTTGGTTACATGTGTATTTGTTTCTTAAATTTCTAAATACAAATAAGAAACACTTGATTTTTTTTAAACAAAAAATCATGTTCTTGGTTGCATGTGTATTTGTTTCTTAAATTTCTAATTATGATGGTCTATGTATTTGCACACTAAATTTTGTTTTTTCTTAATTTAAAAACCATTATTTTGATGGTTACCCATCAAAGATGTTGGGAAATGGGGTCACTGAAACTTGGAGGAGAAACTCTGAGGCGAGTTTGAAAACACTGTCTTTAGTACATTATTTTCCCTCATTCAATTTCACTGAGTTTGTTGTTGGGTTACTGGATTGTGAGAGAGAGAGAGAGTGATTTTCGAAAATGTTGTGTGTGAAAGCTTGATTCACGCTCCCTAAATAGTTTGAACAGTGTCTCTTAATCACATCTGATCAAATCATGGTCGTTGATCACATCAACGGTCAGATTGCACCAAAAAGCCAAACCCACCCTTCACAAGCCACGCAAGTGCGAGCAAAGTGCGCCTCTAAAACATCTCATTGCACCACACACATGCATGTGCATTGCACAGTACCAAGCCTCCATACTCTCCTCTTCTATTTCTAAAGAGTGTAAATCAGCTCCTATTAAAAAACCCAAAACAAAACTTGTAATTTTCCAATGTGGGACAACTTCAAAACTGGTTTTAGTAAGAGAAAATCTATTTTCCCAAACAAGTGTGCAAGTGTAATTTCTCATGTAATTGACCAATCAAACCCATTGGATTTAATCTCTAATGAGAATAAAATCCAACAAAAGATTCGTTAAAGAATTTGTTTATTCTTTCTTTTAATTCTACAATTAGCTAGTCAATTACCAAATGGGTGTTTGGTGTTTCTAGGCTCACCATGACACATGCACATTTCTCTTCGGGTATTTGTCTATTTTTTCCTACTGCTTTCTATTTTTACATTACTTTTAAAGTTGAATAAAATAACTCAAGTAGTCAATCATTATTATGACTTTTCCAAATATATTTCCTCATTAATTCATCGTCAACTTTCTCTCATTTTGTCTCATTAATTTCTCAATATTTTCATCTCATTAACTCACTCAAATGCATGTGGGATTCAGTCCCTAGCTACAACCAGCAAGAGACCTTACCAAACCAACATGTTGGCACTTTACAAATCTATATCAATTTCAATTACTCTAGTGAATTGCCTAAAATTTTTTAGCTCTATACATATACTTGAAAAAAAGTCCCTATATATTCCAAAAAATGTGGTCAGCCTCCCTATCAAAATGTCTTTATTTATAGGATAAATTTCTTAAACTACCCTTATGGTTAAACTAATTGATTATTTATATCCTCACTGTTTGAAAATTGACTAATACTGCCCCTACTGTTTTTGGCAATTGACTAATCCTTTTTTATGGGTAACATGTGTCAACGGAAATATGAAAAAGACTTCTCCCGCTAGTTCTTTTCTTCGGATAATGAAAGAATGGTCCTCATGGTTAATTAAAACTCGAGGAAATGCAGCATAAATTCGTGGAAAATAAAAGAGAAAAAATAGTAGGACTACGACATCCATTTTAAAAGTGCCAATTCAAAATCCAAAGTTCCTTGACAGAGAAACATGGTCTCGATAGTTCAATTGTACCTCTCAGTGAGACCTTCAATGAGAGCAGAAAACGTGATTAATATGAGGTTTTTTGTTAAACAACTTCATTGTCTGGAGAATCACTAACCTTAAGGACACCTTTCCTGAGGTAGTCTGACCCTCCATCTCTTTAACTCCAAATCAAAGACCTATATATATATAAGAGGAAGCTCAACACCTTCGCCTTCTAACATATAGAGACCGTATCTTTAACTACAATTAGGGAAAAACGCATTTTACCCATCGAAGCACCGCTCGGAACAACAGCCCTAGCTTAGGTTCCATCAGAAAGTGTAACGTCCGCCTGAAAATTTCTCTACCTTTAGAAACCATGTCTAGAGAGGCAAATGAGGAGGAAATTTCTACCACTAACACGAAATGCATTGTCGAGAACTAGATATCAACCA